CTCCACCCTGATCCCGGTCCCGATCCCTGATCCTGGCCCCCTGGTGATCCCGGGCCCAATCCCTACCCGCGATCCCCATCTCAACCCCGAACCTGACCCCGACCCTCCACCCTGATCCCGGCCCCGATCCCGACCATCCCAATCCCAACCCTGATACCGACCCCAACCCTCGATCCTGATCCCGACCCTTGATCCCAAGCCAGACCACAGTCCTGATCTGGATCCTAACCCTTGATCCCAATCCTCAATCCTGATCCCGACCCTCCACCCTGATCCCAGTCCCAATCCCTGATCCTGGCCCCCTGGTCCTGATCCCAATCCTCAATCCTGATCTCAACCCTTGATCCCAAGCCAGACCCCAGTCCTGATCTGGATCCCATCCCTCCATCCCAATCCCAACCCTGATACCGACCCCAACCCTCGATCCTGATCCCGACCCTTGATCCCAAGCCAGACCACAGTCCTGATCTGGATCCTAACCCTTGATCCCAATCCTCAATCCTGATCCCGACCCTCCACCCTGATCCCAGTCCCAATCCCTGATCCTGGCCCCCTGGTCCTGATCCCAATCCTCAATCCTGATCTCAACCCTTGATCCCAAGCCAGACCCCAGTCCTGATCTGGATCCCATCCCTCCATCCCAATCCCAACCCTGATCCCGACCCTTGATCCCGAGCCAGACCGCCGTCCTGATCCAGATCCCAACCCTCGATCCCAATCCCAACCCTGATCCTGACCCCAACCCTCAGTCCTGATCCTGATCCCGACCCTTGATCCCGAGCCAGATCCCAATCCTCATCCTGATCCCAACTCTGATCCCGACCCTAACCCTCGATCCTGATCCTGATCCCGACCCTTGATCCCGAGCCAGACCCCAGTCCTGATCCGGATCCCAACCCTCGATCCCAATCCCAACCCTGATCCCGACCCCAACCCTCGATCCTGATCCTGATCCTTGATCCAAAGCCAGACCCCAATCCTGATCCCAATCCCAACCCTGATCACAACTCCAATCCTGATCCCAATCCCAACCCTTGATCCAAATCCTGACCCTCGATCCCAATCCTGATCCCAATCCCAATCCTGATCACAACTCCAATCCCGATCCCAATCCCAACCCTCGATCCCAATCCTGACCCTCCATCCCAGTCTCAACCCTGATCCCAGCTCCAATCTTGATCCCAATCCCAACGCTCAATCCTGATCCTGATCCCAGTCCCAACCCTGGTCCCAACCCCAATCTCAACCCCTCGATCCTGATCTTGACCCTCAATTCCAATCCAGAACCCAATCTCAACCCTGATCTCAATTCCAACCCTGATCCTGACCTCGAACCCTGATCCCAGCTCCAATCTTGATCCCAATCCCAACGCTCAATCCTGATCCTGATCCCAGTCCCAACCCTGGTCCCAACCCCAATCTCAACCCCTCGATCCTGATCTTGACCCTCAATTCCAATCCAGAACCCAATCTCAACCCTGATCTCAATTCCAACCCTGATCCTGACCTCGGTCCTGATCCGGATCCCAACCCTCAATCCCCTTCCTGATCCCAATCCCATCCCCAGTCCCAGCCCTGACCCCCACATTGTCCCAGCCCTGTCACAGTGCAGTGAGCTGCCCCTCCAGTAACCCAATGTGTTTATTGGGATGGCAGCACTGCCCTCGCTCCATGTCCTACCCCACAGTCCCCCCTGCCCCAGCTCAGCTCAGGGCTCGGAGTGGTGTCTGACACTGTGGAGAAGAAACCAGAACAGCCTGAGCAGCCCATGGCAGCTGGATGCTCCCTACCCTACTGCTGTGCCCACCGACACATCCCGGAGGATTCCTAATCCATCAGACAAGGATCCTGCCATAAATCATCGCCTGTCACACACCTCCCCCAGGAGATGCAGGAATGGAGGTGAATTCCCCATCCCAGGAGTTCTGGCCATTACTACTGACAGCAGAGCAGAGCAGGATGCTGCAGCATCACACCATAGGGAACATCCCGCTGGGACACAGCCTCCAGTGGCAGCTCCAAACACATAGTAACAGAGGAGTAAACCCTTTGTAACTGCAACAGCAGCATCAGCACAGCTAGTCAGGCCTTTAGAAAAAGTGAGTTTCAATTCTCAGCACTCCTGTCCCACGCCCAGTCTGTGCCAGCACATCCTGTTATGTCCACGGGAGGAAGTTGCAGTGCAGGACCAGTCCCAGCAGCCAGTAGCACAGAAAGAATCCCAGGATGCTCTTGCTGAGGGGAGTAATCGATCTACAGTTCAGCAGCAGCCTCACAATGGGGTTGTCAGGAGTCCTTCTCCCACAGGAACTGGGAGATTTGCCTAGAACAGGCTTCCCAGAGGTTGGATTATCAGTCCCTGTGCTCCAGAGTAAAGGTTCATGTTCCTGAAGCAGGTGAGCAGAGAACCAGTACAGGATGGGAGAGGAGGAGCCAAGGAATCGGGTCAGCACCTGGAGATGACAGGCAGAGCAAAAATCACACCAGTTGCAGGTCTCCAACTGTGACCAACCCTGATCCCAAGGTATGGAATGAGCCCTGATCCTGAGGCACGGAAGGAGCCACCCAACAAGCTCTCTGGGAACTCTCCAGAGGAAATAACTGGCTTTAGATTCTCTATGGAAGTAGCTCCCAAGGAGGTAAGGCAAAGCTTTTTGTTCCCACTCCCCTGTGCTGCCCCACAGCTGGGACAGCTTCTGGCTGTGACTGGCACTGCCCCAGACCCCGTCAGGATTCCCTCCCGTGTGCTGCTGTGAGTGTCCTACCTGCACGTGCATGCAGAGGAACCCAAACACCAGCAGGGCTGTGGCATGGACCACATACACAAAGGCAGCAGGGCAGCAAAATCCATCTCTTGGCTTTTCCTCCTCTTCAGTCCTTCTTCTCTCTAGACCAAGAGTCAGGCAGTGCCGAGGGTTTGCGACGACATAGGTCCAGGCAGCCCATGAGCCCAGAAGGGTGACAGGCAAAGCAAGCAAGAAATTTGGAATCTGTCTGAGCTCAAAGTACCTTAGAAAGCCCACATTCCAGTAACTGTCTTGGACGTAGGAATAGACCACAGGGACCCGCAGGGAGCACCAAGGGGGTTTAATCCCATCCATGGCTGCCACGCGGTAGCCCTTGTCCTCAGCCAGCTCCAGCAGTGGCTTGGGAATGTTCTGCTCCAGGTCAGTGCCAGGACCACAGAACCTCACATAGGCATAGTACTGAAACAAAGCAAACGGCAGAAAAATCCCAGCACACATCAGGACTGCTGAAGATGCCAGGCTAAGGAGTTCCTTCCACAACAGAGGGAGCTTCCTTACAGATCCTGAACCCACCTGCAGCTGGAGGGCAAAGCATTTACCACGGGAGTAGAGGAAGAAGCCAGCGTTAATCAGCCCGTTGGCACGCGCCCCGGCAGCGAGGGAGAAGAGCAGCCCACTGAGCCAGCTCTGCCCCTTCTCCAGCTGCCACATGGCACTGAATGCCAGGAAGGCAAACATGCTCTCTGAGTAAGCAGCTGCCATAAACACGTTGGCAGGGCTGAGAGAAAAGAGCAGAGCAGCAAGGAAAGCCACGGCGCGACGCCGCAGCACGACACGGCCCAGCGTGTACAGGGCAGCGGCTGCCAGGATGGAAAAGAGGGAATTCAGCAGCACAGCTGACAGCAGCAGGAGGCTCCGTGGGCACAGCAGTCTCTGCAGGGGCCACAGAGCCCCCCTGGCCACGGCCCAGAGGCTCAGGGGGTACAGTGGGAGGAAGGCACAGTTGTGCTCATACAGGTAGCCGCGCTCGGCGATGAAGAGGAAGTGCTCGGCGTCCCAGCGCGACAGCCCTCCCAGCAGCTGCTCCACCAGCACGTCCCAGGGGCCAGGCTCAGCCAGGCGAGGGGGAGAGAAGGCATCTGCAGCATGATCTGGGATCAGGAGGTTAAAGACAGCCTGGAAAAGAAGAGAGGATTGAAGTCCAGCAGAGATCCTTTGGTACCGCACTCAAAGCACCAGGACTCCTGGGTTCAAACAAGGGCACCGAAGCCAGGCTGATGCCTGTGAGGCTGTGAAAAGGTGCAAACACAATCTTTTGGGGCATTTATATCTGAACAGAATAAAGCTCTGGGATATATCCAGCATGAATCCCCATGGAGCTGGCCAGGAAAAGCTGCTCAGGCTGCACACGCTCACTCCAGGTGCCCCTGCAGACTCCTGCTCTGTGGATTTGGCATTTTTGTGCCAGCTGAGACAAAATTATGGAAAAGTACATTCCCCAGCATAAACTGATGCAGAAGACAGCAGGCAATTCCCAGGCCCCTCTCTGGCATCTAGATCTCCACCACCTTGGCAGCTCAGGGGCATTACAGGTTCATTTTTTGGAGATGAGCAATGACACCTCTGCCTCCAGGAGTCTGTGGTGCTGACCACATTTTAAATGCTGAGAGAAAAACCCCAGAGATAGGAAGAGAGAGAAAAACCATGAGATAGGAAGGAGGCAACTGAATGTCATGTAATTCCAAAAGAAAAATATTTTAGAAGACCAAAACAAACCCCCAAAAACCTCAGATGGTGAGTTTTGTAGCTTAACTACAGTAGACTGGGATGAGTTCCCTGCCATGAATCCAGTGCTGGCAGAGAAAAGGCCACACTGAACAAACTGGGACACATGTTTTCAGCATGAAGCACATGTCTGGTCTAACCAGGCCTCTGGTTTTGTAACATGGAGGTTGATGGTTCCCCTCAGTCCTTCCCAGCGGTGGCTGGGGCTGTCCCACACTCTCAGCTGGCCAGTGACCTGCTGCTGTCTGGTTCTCAGAGAACCATGGAATGCTTTAGCATGGAAAGAACCTTAAAGACCATCCAATTCCAACTCCCTGCCATTTCACTAACCCACGTTGCTCCAAGCTCCATCCAACCTGGCCTGGAACATTTCCAGACATGGAGCAGCCACAGCTTCTCTGGGCAACCTGTGCCAGTGTCTCACCACCCTCACAGGGAAGAATTTCTTTCCAATATCCCATCTAACCCTGCCCTCTGGCAGTGTGAAGCCATTCCCTGTATTTTGTCACTCCAGGCCCTTGTAAATAGTCTCTTTCCATCTTTCCTGTATGCTCCGTTCAGGTACTGGAAGGCCACAATTAGGCCACCACAAAGCCTTCTGTTTTCAGGCTGAACAATCTCAGTTCTGGATTCTAGATTCCTTCTTTTCAGGAGGACACACCAAGACATGAGGCAAGTGATGTTATTTTACTTAACAGCAACCTGCCCCCCTGGCTGCAGCTGGTCTGTGGGTTCTGCAGAGGAGAAGATAGATCACTTCCCCATGAAGCAGAACCAGCTCATGGTGCATGAATGGGACCAAAGAGAGAAGTCTGGGAGCAGCAAAGCCCAGATGTCACAGCCCCTTAGGTGGGGGACAGGCCACTTGCCTGCAGCAGCAGTGTCAGGGCTCTGCAGCGCACTGCAAACCACACGACCTCTCGGAGGTGGAAGTCCTCCCTGCTCTCCAGCTCCATCCTGTGCTTGGAAGTTGCCTCAGGAGGTCATTGATGTCAAGGGAATTCTCTCTCCAGTTTGGGAAACCTGCGTTGGTAAACAGAGAGGAGAGAGAAAGGGATTTCTGGCTTTGTTTGTAAACGATGTGATTTTATTTACTATCAGGCACTTTCAAGGGGTGAAAATCTCTGTGAACAGGAGAGTCACTTATAGAAGAGATCATGGATCTGGGAGGTGACACAGAGACCTCTTTTATACTGTTCCTATCAAATAAAATTCCCTGGCTTCTTACCCTTGGCCAGGACATGGAGGGAGAGAGGTGATAACATGTCCTCTGAGCCCATTCCTCACTGGGCCAGAGTAAAGCCCTGAAGCAGACAGACTCCTCAGCTGCCTCAGGAGGAACACAGCAGCTGGAGCCAGGACTCCGCCAAGCATCCTCACACACATCCAGTTCCAATGCAACAAATGGGATTTAAACCTCTTTTTTTGGAACAGAGACAGAACCCATGTGGACTCTGAGTGTAACATCCGTGTAAGCAGTTGCTGCGTGGGGCTCTCAGTGCTGCCAGACACACTCTCCTCTCTCCTGCTCTGTGTTTGCCCCTGGGGAGCCAAGAATGGATTTACTCAGCTGCCTCCATGGCATGGTGGTACACACAGCTTTCCCCCAACACAGACAGCACCTCCAGGACACGACTCCTGCACCACTCCAGCCTCACCACCTGCAATTTTCCACTGTTCTGGCAGAGCTCCTGACTCCAGAGCGCAGGCACCTGCCTGTCACCAGACTGCACGTGCTGAGGTGGCTCTCGTCCACCTCCTCCCTGCAAACCTCACCTGCAGGATCTCCAACTCTTTGTGAAGCCTCCCCAGCTTATTTCTGTACATCCTGGATGAGGCTGTGAGCCATGAACTCCTGGCCCAGAGCCACAGGAGACGGGTGGGATCCGTTGGGCAGGTTTGTACGATAACACATTTCTTCCGTTGGTTCCTCAGCCACCAACTGCTTTTCAGTTGGAGAAACACACGACCCACAACTCTTGCCAGGTCCCAGTGACACCACATCCTGCACTTGTTTCTGCTCCAGCACTTTAAAACACATAAAGACTCCCAAACTGATCACTTCAATCAGAAATCACTGAGATTTCTCTAGTACAATTTCACCCACCAGGTTGAAACTGCACAAAGCAAGTCATCAGTGAGGCAAAAAAAAGCAAGATCCAAACACACTCTTTGACAGTTCCAGTCCCCAGCCACAGGGTTATGCTTCCTATTTAGCCACAAATAAAAGTTTGGGGATAGCTCCTATTTTCCTCTCCAGCACTCACAACTAGTGGGAGGCACATCCTCCTGAATCACAAAGCTGGGATGTTATTTTAAGCCAGGGGACACTTCAGCCCAGCTGTAAATTCCTTTAAAGCACATTCACAGCTGCAAATCCTATGAAAGCACAGCAGCAAAAAATTGTCCCAGCACTTTAAATATATATTTTTTTTTTGAGAAAAAGCCTTGCCTGAATGTGCCAAGAGAGCTCAAAGCAAACAGCTTTAAAAAGCCTGTTCCTGTCACGACGCAGCACACCTTGTGACAGAGCTGCAGCCCACAAGCACCGCTTGGGTAGGGAATTCAGCATCAGGGCTGGGATGGCTCTGCCCCAAGAATGCTGTGGGAAGGAGCACCTGCACGAATGGGGGAAAAAAAAGACACGGAAAGGCGGAAGTGGGTTAAGAATATTTCAGTAAAAGAGATGGAAAGCGTTAATTAAAGATGTTTTACTCTCTGGGTTTTGTGCTTCCCTTCGCTCCCAGATGTGAATCGCCGTTTGGAAACTGCGCTAAAAAAGGGATGTGGAGAGGGACGAAAGAGAGGTTGGGTAAATACATGACGGCGGGGATGTGGATTCGGAGAGGTCTGTCAGGCGCAGTGGAGAGCAGGGACCAGCCGGTGGCAGCAGGCGCTCACCAAAGGCATCTCCTCCTCCACAGCAGCTCCTGGCTGGGGCATGGAATTCCTGCTCCAGTCTGGACACCTCTCGGTACTTCTCCATGCTGTGAGATTCAAGAGATACTCCAGACATATATAAAACCTGCTCTAACCAGGGTGCCAAAGAAATACAACAGGATTTAGGAAATCCTGTTTGCCTAGTGCTGTTTCTGTGGGCTTGGGAGTTCTTGGCCTTCCCTCCTGCCTGATTCCAGCTGCTGTTCCAGAGGCTGAAGCTCCAGCACTGCTTTGCCTGAGCCTGAATGGAAACAGGAACGTGTCTACTACCCCTTGCAGCTCCTCACTATCCAAGCAGGGATGTAACAACTCCTGATGTGATTCCTGGAGATGTCCTGTGCAGGGCCAAGAGTTGGACTCAATAATCCTGGTGGGTCCCTTCCAACTCTGAACATTCTGTGAACTCCTGCACAGCACATCACAGGGAAACTGGCTCTGCTGGGACACTGGGGACTCATGCAGATTCTGTTTCCATGGCTGCTTTCAGAAGGCCAAACCCACTGCACATGGAGCTTACACGAGCAGGAAAGGGTTGTTTCTCCTTGAGACAGGACAGGACAGAGATCACCAGCTCTGCAGCCCCAGCTGAGGTTTCACAGAATCCCAGAACGGGTCAGGTTGGAAGGGACCACAGTGGCTCATCTGGTCAGACAGGGCCATCCCAGAGCACGTGGCACAGGATTGTGTCCAGACCGTTCTGGAATAACTCCAGTGAGGGAGAATACACAGCTGCTCTGGGCAATCTGTTCCAGTGCTTGGTCACTGCACAGGGAAGAAGTAAAGAGAAGTTTGATTGTGGTTGAAGCACTTCATGGGGCTGTTTCCAAGACCAGAGTCAGTTGCAGCCCATGTGTTTATCCATGGACACACACACATGATGTCACACATGA